TGGGGAAAATTTGTCTTTTATAGGTGAAATGGATTGTTCATGACCATTTGATCATTTTGAACGATTTAGATCGTCTGATCACCAATTTCGTGCATGTGGCCGTGTTAAGTATATACTGATATCTTAATTTTTTGTGTTATTTAAACTTTCTTTTTTGTTGAATGAGAATTATGCTTAACATAGAATATTTTAGATACTTTATATATATGTTATATATGTTACCTTACATCTTTAATTTTTAATTATTATTTAGTTAATATTAATATAGTTAATTTTTAATTATTATTTAATATTATTTCACTACATTTTTAATTTATAATTATTAGTTAATATTGGTTACTGTGTTTGTTTTATAATTATTAGTTAATAATGTTTGTCCATGCATGGCACCAACTACACACTAATTGGAATAAGAACTCGTGAATTCACAATTTCAAACCATCAACGTGATGCGAATACTACACCCGACCCGATTTACCATCTTGACCACAAACACAGATTGATATATTTTCCAATATTTGTTTCTGAGTTGGGGGCACCTACGGTGCTGTTTTACACAGCACCTGCTGTGTTTGGTCCCCACCATTGCATCATGTTAAGTTAACATCCACCGTCGTCTTCCAGCTCTGTCATGGCCGAAGAATTGGAGAGCTTCCAGACACCCGCTGAGGACACCGCCCAGTATGGTTTCGAGCGAGCAGAGATGTATCAGGGCAGTCTCACCGGCACCGTTGACCCGTACGAGCGCCATGTGTTCCTCTGCTACAAGTCTCACGAGTGTTGGAAATAAATGAGCCAATAAATTCAAGATTAACAAAACAAATTAATTTTATTATTATAAATATATCACTCACAATAGCACTCAAGATAAAATTCACTATTTTCTCTCAACTCACTTTTCTCACTCTCGTACAACACACAAGCACATCACCAACTCTTTTATTTTCTTTTGTTTTGATCACTCTCTACACAATATTTATTTATGTGTATGCACTCATACTACAAGCACACACCTCACTCTTTTATTTTCCTGTTTTTATTACATACGGCACACACTCACAATAGCTATATTTATAGTATCTGAGAGAAGTGTCTAGTATGTCGGTGGACATACATTATCTTTTGATTACATATTAATTATACTAGATATTTATATTAATTATTCTTTATATTTTTAGAAGCTTCCTTTTATGTTGGTGTTGATTTTAATTAACACTCCCCCTCAACACCGACATCCTTTCGAGTTATGTTTTCTTCTCGAACCATTCCAAGACATGTTCGGAACTCTTCGAAGTTTGAAGAATTGAGCCCTTTTGTGAACACATCGGCTACTTGGTCTTCCGTACCAACGTGCTTCATCTCTATCTCTTCTGTGAGCACCTTTTCTCTAACGAAATGATAATGTACTTCGACATGTTTCGTTCTCTCATGGTATACGGGGTTTTCCGCTATGCGTATAGAAGATTGGTTATCACAATATAGTTCTACCGCATAGCTAAATGGCTGATGTAGATCTTTTAATAGTTGCATAAGCCATATGGTTTCTTGTGCCGCCATTGCTGCTGCTCGATACTCGGCCTCTGCTGTTGATAAGGATACTGTCGGTTGTCTTTTGCTACACCATGATATTGCAGCCGACCCAAACTTGAACACATACCCAGTAGTGGACCTTCTCGTATCACCACATCCGGCATAGTCCGCGTCGCAATAGCCAACAATTTTTGTATCTTTATTCCTTTGACAGAAAAGTCCATAGTCAATTGATCCCTTTACATACCTTAGTATGCGTCGGACTAACTCAAGGTGTGGCTTCTTTGGTTTCTCCATGAATCGACTTGCAATCCCCACTGCATATGAAATGTCTGGTCGTGTTAGAGTTAGGTAGATTAGGCTTCCGACCAGCTGCCTGTACATAGTTGCATCCTCCAAGGCTTTGCCATCTTGAGCACATATCTTGGCATTTACTTCGGTTGGAGTCGATAACGGCTTGCAGTCAATCATGCCAAATTTCTTCAATAGATCTTTAGCATATTTTGACTGACACAATAAAAGACCATCGCCTTTTTCTTTTAGTTCGAGCCCCAAAAAGTGCTTAAGTTCTCCAAGCTCTTTCATTTGGAATCTCACCAATAAATTCCTCCTGGTTTGTTGAATTTCTTCTCCATCATCTCTAGTGATGATGATATCATCCACATATACTAGCACTATTGCTAGTTTTCTTTCTCGTTTCTTGACGAAGAGGTTTGAGTTTGCTGGTGCAACATAGTATCCACACTGAATTAAGAATTCAGCGATCTTACCGTACCATGCTCGTGGCGCCTGCTTTAACCCGTATAGAGCCTTCTTTAGTTTGCACACGTAGCCTGGATTCTCTTGATCCTCGAACCCCGCAGGTTGGACCATGTATATTTCTCTGTCGAGCTCTTCATGTAGAAACGCATTCTTCACATCCATCTGCCATAATTTCCATAACTTGCTTGCTGTCAGTGCAGTAAGTACTCGAAATGTTGTGATCTTTGCAACTGGGCTAAATGTCTCGTCATAGTCTAGCCCGTACTATTGTGAGAATCCTCGTGCAACAAGCCGAGTTTTATATCTTTCAATTGATCCATCAGGCCGCCTTTTTATTTTATAAACCCATTTACAAGATATGGGTTTAACTCCATCCGATTTGGGTACTAAGTCCCATGTTTCATTTTTCCTTAGAGCCATAATCTTCTCATTCATTGCTTTTATCCATTCTTTATGTTTAACTGCATCCTCAAATATTTGTGGCTCTTTTATACTTGTATCTTCTTCTAAGGCTATATTGGCGTACCTGGGATTTGGCCTCTTTTGTCTGGAAGATCTCCGTAGTTGTTGTGGACTTGTCGGTACTTCACCTGCTTCCTCTCCTGGTGGCTCAATCTCATCGAGTTGAGTTGGCCTCATCACTTCTGGAGTTACTTCATGTACACCGGTCTTCCACGGACTTTGAGTTGTTCTTGGTGACTCCCCTTCCTCGTCTGATTCTTCCATTCTTTGTGTTGCTTCTAGAAGTTTCACCCACTTCTGGAGTTTATCCTCGATTTCTTTAGAATCTGGTAGCTCCGACTTCTGCGGTGTCCATCAAGAAGATGCTTCATCGAAAATCACGTTGCGTGATGTGTAACACCAATCTGTTGATGGATCACAACATCTCCACCCTTTTCTTTGGCTGTCATATCCCAAGAATATGCATCTGATTGCCTTCTTGTCAAATTTACTCCGTAAGTGACTTGGTACAAACACGTAACAGACGCATCCGAAAAATCTGAAGTGGCTAACAGTTGGTTTGATTTTCCATAGCTTTTCAAATGGTGACATGAATCCCAGCTTTGCTTGTGGTAGCCGATTTATCACGTGCGCCGCCGTCTTCATACATTCTGCCCAAAACCTCGCCGGTACGTTTTTTGCATGTATCATGCTTCGACATGTTTCTGCCAGGTGTCGATTTTTCCTTTCTTCTATGCCATTTTGCTGAGGTGTGTTTGGACACGTCAGCTGATGGTGTATCTTATGCTCCTTCAGAAATCGGGAGAACTCTTTTGATGTGTATTCTCCCCTGATATCCGTGCGAAAGCACTGGATCTTATCTCCGACTTCTCTTTCAACAGATTCTTTGAAATCTTTAAACTTTGTGAATGCTTCTGATTTTCTTTAATAAAGAATACCCAAACGTACCTTGAGAAGTCGTCGATAAATGTCACCATATAGCGCATACCGCTGATTGAAGGTTGTTTAACTAGCCCGAATATGTCAGAGTGAATTGTCTCGAGAGGCTTCTTTGCTATGTAGCTTGAATCTTCAAATGGTAATTGATGTGCTTTACCATATTGACAGCCAGCACATATTGTGTTATCTCTTATCTCCAGTTGAGGGAGGCCCTTCAACATTGATTTCTTCATCATCACCTTAAGCATATGATAGCTCACATGTCCCAGCCTCGCATGCCATAAATCGGCCGTTTTATTTTTTTGAGTCTTATCTACATAAGCAGACTCTGCTGACATTACGTAGATGGACTCAAGCTTTCGACCCTCCATTATCGGTGTACCGATAATTTTGAGTTTTTCGTACACCTTGACGTTATTGGGTCCAAAAATAACATAATTCCCCGAAGTTGTCAGTTGTGATACTGATAGAAGATTTTTCTTCATACTTGGGACATGATAGACGTCCTGCAGCTGCACTTGTCCAGGACCAAACCGTGGAGTGATGACCGTCTTACCAATATGGGCTGTTGGCAACCTTGAATTGTTAGCAGTGACCACCATCCTGCCTCCGTTGTATTCACTTGTGTTCTGCAACTTTTCTTTGTCTCCTGTCATATGATTGGAGCATCCCGAGTCCACGATCCAATCATTCTCATAATCTATTCATCTAGGGACAACGACAGCCAATGTCGTCTCTTCATTTGAGCTTGATTGCTCTTCTTTACGGGCCTCCTCAGATACAGTTGGGACGATCTCCTCGACTATCGCCGTGGATGCCTCTATGTCCCACTCTTCTTCGCTATTGTTAGTCTCCTGGTTATTTGACGTTGCTATATTCCCTTCAGCAACCTTTTTCCTATGCCAGCAATCTCTGGCATAGTGATTCGGCTTGCCACATACGTAGCACGGGCCCTTTTTATTCCCCTTGGACATCTGATATTTCTTATAACGATCTTGTTGGATTTCCTTTGTTTCAGAGCTTCTTACTTCTTTTTTAATATATTCCTTTTTGTCTCTTTTATTTTGTTGGCGTGGTCTCATATTCTTTTTTATAACTAAATAAAGCTTCATCTTCTTTCTTTAATGAGACTTCCGCCATTTGTCTAGTCAGTGCTTCTTGGTCGGCTAATATATTTTCAAGATTTACCAAAGAAGGCTGCTCAGACCAACCTTGTATTGCGGCTATAATCCCCCTAAATTCGGGTCTTAAGCCATGAATGATAATTCTTCTCATCTTAGCTTCTGAAACATTATCAGTGGGGTCCAATTCAGACATTTAGCGACAAAGAGTTCGTACCTTGTTAAAGTAGTCGCGAATCGTCATCTCCCCTTGTTTGAGTGACAGAAGCTCGTTCTCGAGAAGTTGCAGCTTGAACTCATTCTTTTTGGAGAATAATACTCCCAGAGTGTCTTACGCTTGTTTTGGAGTGCTTGCGTCCCGTATGTGCTCCAACAACTCTTTGTCAATAGTCGTCTTGAGTGCGTACATGGTATTTCCCGCCTTTATCTTCCATTTACGTAAGGCCCCGGCTTCTTCAGGTGGTGTGACCTCTTCTCCGCCAACAATTTCCCACAGGTCTTGGCCTTGGAGATACGACTCCATGCATGTCCTCTATGTGGTGTAATTTTGATTATTGAGTTTCTCCATTCCGCCTACTGACTGTAGATCCGCCATCGTGACTTGGACTACCTCCTCGTAACCAAGCAAGCCTCACGCGCTTCACAATTTCTTTTAATTGTGCACGATGCCTTTGAACTCAATAATCTCTCCCTAGTTGACGGATAGTGATGAGCCCTGAATAAATTGGCACGGGCGTGAACTTTCCAGACGTGGCTCTGATACCACGTGTTGGAAATAAATGAGCCAATAAATTCAAGATTAACAAAACAAATTAATTTTATTATTATAAATATATCACTCACAATAGCACTCAAGATAAAATTCATTCTTTTCTCTCAACTCACTTTTCTCACTCTCGTACAACACACAAGCACATCACCAACTCTTTTATTTTCTTTTGTTTTTGATCACTCTCTACACAATATTTATTTATGTGTATGCACTCATACTACAAGCACACACCTCACTCTTTTCTTTTCCTGTTTTTATTACACACGGCACACACTCACAATACCTATATTTATAGTATCTAAGAGAAGTGTCTAGTATGTCGGTGGACATACATTATCTTGATTATATGTAGGTATGGATTCTTTTTTTTTTTCATATGGTCTCTGCTATTTTTTTTCCTTCAGATTTTAACATGTGTTTTATTATCTTATATGCATCCTTTGCAGCTAAATTCACCTGGAATTTTTCATTTATGTTCCTACCTTTTGCTGTGTAAATTAGCAATCTTCAATTAGTCTGACCAACAAAAGTTCAATTTTTTACCTTTGCTTCATATTATCTCGCTGTGAACTCGCTGCTTACAGTTCAAGATGTGTATTAAATGTCTTCTGTTTATGATATATTTATAAATTAACTACTTAACTGTGTTATTTGTAATGAGTTTGAAGCTATCATATTTATGTTCTGTGAAGGGGGTTGATGGAGTCAGATGTTGATAGTTTTATTGAGGATGTGCTCGTTAATGGGAAGCCTTGGCTATCTGGAATGCAGGAGGAGTTGGCGGGTTCTTATATGTTTGTTTGTGCTCATAACAAACGTGACCGTAGGTGTGGTGTTTGTGGCCCAATTCTTATTGAAGGATTTAAAGAAGAGATTGCGTCCAAGCTAGGGTTTGAAGGACCAGGTGTTTGTGGCTGCCTGTTCGCATGTAGGAGGACACAAGTATGCAGGCAATGTGATAACTTTCAGTGCGGATCCTCATGGCAAAATTGCTGGCAATTGGTAATATTTATGCTCGCGTCGTTACTTATTTTGTTATTGAACTATTGTCACGGTGTGTAGAGATCGTTTGGTTGAGCTCATCAGCTCCTCGAAACATCTTATAAGATGCTTGAGAGCTAAAGATCTCGTATAGGGGTTCCTCTTATCAGCTCAGCTAGGCACTCTATTAACACTATGTTAAATAATGTTATTAGATTTTATGTTAAAGTTGTTGTTTGTAAAACAACAACTATAGGTTACTTGTAATATTAGAATTTGTGTTAAAGTTGCTATTAGCAACTATAGGCATTTGTAATTTACTGTTTTGCCATTGAGGAAACCCTAAGTATAAAAGGGCAATACACCTCATTTGTAAATCACTTTTCCTTCTTCAATTTTATCGCAGTATTTTTCTGTTCATTCTCTCTCTCTCTGTTCTTGGGAAAATTGTGTTCAATCTGAGTTAATATGGTATCAATCGCCTAAAGATCCGTTGTTTTTCGCTTCCGCACTTCATTCTTCTGTTTGATCTCCACCTCTGAGATCATCTTCTTTGTTCGTTCGATTTTTTGTTTGATTTTTTTTTGTATCTGATTAGGGTTTTCAGTCTCCGAAACCCAATCTTCGTATCTCGATCTATATCTGTTAGATCTGTTACTGTTCTACATTAAATCGCCATGGCTACTA